TTGCCACCAGCTTGGCGTACTAAATGACCGCAAAAATAACTGAGTAACCAGAGGTAAAAATCTCTGCAGGTGGGCTTAGGAGTCCCTTTGGGTCCCTGGTTCCTCAGGTGCCAACTCTGGTTTCATGAAGAAAGACCAGGCGCTGGAAATCTAGGGAGGAGAAAGTTAATGCAGCACCTGGTGTGATCTGTTACAGCTTCTTTAAAGACAGTCTGCCTGGCTCGCTTTTCCCTGTTTTCATGCAGTTTCCCCTCCCAGCATCAGCCTACCTGTTCCTAAGAAACTCATTCTTGTTCCCAAGACTCCTTTTAGTCAAATCTTTCCTATCATTCCAGGACTTTCTTGTACTTCCCTCCCCATGAATCTACCAGTGCCTAGGGTGGGCCAGGCACAAGGCAGGCGGCCAGTCAGCATCTGGATGTGGGACCAGTTTTCCCAGCTGCCCTCCTCTTTCTCTTTTTTTAAAAATTATTATTTTGTATTATTTTTGAGACAGGGTCTCACTTTGTTGCCCAGGCTGGAGTGCAGTGGTGCTCTCAGTAGCTCACTGCAGCCTTGACCTCCAGTCTCAAGCAATCCTCCTGCCTCAGCCTCCCAAAGTGCTGGGATTATAGGTGTATGCCACCATGCCCAGCCCACTTTCTCTCTCTTAATTCCCTCTCCCTGCTGTTGTTGCCATACTCTTGCATGCACAATCAGCTGTCTAGTTTTTGACTGTTTGTGGATAAGTTTGTGTGTATGGTGTGTGTTGTCTCTCTCACCAGATTTCAGGTTCCTGAGGCGAGCCTGCAGCTCATACTGCTCATCTGTCCTCTCCTGTGATGGGTGCTCAGGGCCTCTCACTGTTGGTTACTCCCTCTGTTCTGCCCAGTTCTGCACTCAACTAGTAGAAGCAGCCATGCTTTCCCCAGCAAGAAATTGTAGTGGTCGCCCTTAAGAGCAGTGTGAGGGCAGAAGATGAAGGGAGGGGAAGAGTCCCTGGAACTGGAAGAAGGTAAATACTCTGCCTTGAGAGGGCACTGAACCATTTTACCAAAATAGGAAATTGGAAAAAGTGTCAAAGGTTGGGACTAGTTTTAAAAACACATACAGCCAGTAGACACATGGGGGCTGTTAAAATAATTTTTTTTTACCCGGTTCTGCCATCACACGCACTAGTGACATTCCAAGTATTTAGTGGCCATGTGGGGCTAGTGGCCACCACACTGGACACCACGGACGCAGAACTTTTCCATCGCCGCAGAGAGCTCTGTTGACCAGTACTGTGTCCAGAGTGCTCGTTATGAACAGTTTAGAAACCACGATTAATACATTCTCCTTATGAGGTTAAAAGCAGACATGGGAATAGAACATAACGCAAATGATGATGAGTATTTTGGGTGAGAAGAGAAAGCCGAGGACCCATTTCTAGAATTCTAAGATGTAAGATTTAAGTTCTTTATCTTAGTCTCATGCATTCTCCACATCATGCACTGTACCATACTGTGTACCATACTGTGTAGTCAGAACAGACAATGTGATTGAAAAGCTTTGGAAAAAGTGAACACAAAGGATTATTTAGCACACAGGCTTGTAGATACGTATGTGTGTATTTATTCAAGCATTGGAGATGGCTGAATACCTTTGAACAAAGTGTATAGCTTCTCAAATCAGTGGTTGCACTAGTAAATAATTAGAAGGTGTTATTTTTAAAACTATAAGCAAAATTATGAAGGCCTTTAAAAAATCTATCATAATAATGAAAAAGAGGTTGTCTCCCAACAGTGCTGTCCCTCAAAGAAAAGATTGGTTATGTGGAAACAGCACATTTGGAGATTGTTCTAGTGAATAGCAGTGTATATTTGTGGTGCGCAAATTTCTAAGAATGACCCCTACTGACACCCCTGCCTATGACCTTGTACAATATCCTCCCCCTCTGAGCATGGGTGGAACCTGTTTGATCCATGATTATATCATGTTATGTAGCAAAAGGAAGACTGTCTGGGGGTGGCTAATCAAATCTTGTGACTCCTTTAGAAGCAGAGAGTTTCCTCGGGCTGGTAGCAGAAGTCAGAGACAAAGCAGAAGGACCCCAGGCACCATTGCTGTTTTAAGGTAGGGGCTGCATGAGAAAGAATGCACATGGCTTTAAGGAGCTGAGAGAGGCCTTGGCTAATAGCCCAGGGAGCTGGGAACTGCAGTCCTACAGCCACGGGAACTGAATTCAGCTCATTCATGGGCTTGGAAAGGCATTCATCTCCAGTCTCCAGGTAAGACCCAGCCTGGCCAACACTTTGAGTCCAGCCTTGTGAGACCCTAAGCCAAGAACTCAGTTAAGCCTGCTTGGACTTCTGACCTACAGAACTATGAGAGAATAAATCAGTGGTGTTTTAAGCTGCTAAATTTGTGGCAAATTTGTTATGTCGGTCGGAATAGGAAATGAATACAGTATTTTAAAAGAGGTAAAGAGGAACTCTTCGTACTTGATTCCCTGTAGTATGCTGGATCTTTCTTGGTAAATGCATGAATAAAGTCTTCAGTAGCAAGTCATGTACCTGGACCTCGTTGGGGATGTTCTCTTGCCAGAGATCTCAGTTCGTCTTCGTTGGACGTTTGTTGGCAAAGTTGCAGCATCTTACTGAGTAGTGTTTTGTAAAGGAACTGCTAGAATGAGACTATAGGAATAGGACTGAAACAGTGTATAATGAATCTTTTTTATTTCTAGAAGAGGTGTTACTTTATGCTGATTTAGACTGCTCTGAGCCTGTCAGAAGTAAATTCAAGAATGATTAACAGTGGTATTTTAGATACAACATTAAGAGCAAAAACAACCTTGGCCTTGTAGAGATCAGATAATCTACTGTTTATCGAGGGACTTATTTTTTTTTTAACTAAAACTTAAGTTTCTCTTTTTATCATCTAGAACAGATCAAATCCTGTATGGGCCAGCCAAATGTTTGCAGTTTGAGAATGTTTTGCAAATACCTCTCTGCTTCCAAGCCATTAATTGCTAATGAAGTTTTATTTTGTCCATTAATTTTTGTGCTTATTTTTACTGTATTGCCATGGCCTTGATACAAGACAAGTAGAACTAAAAGAAAGAAAATGAGAGGTTAAGACTGTCAAAAGTTAAGAAATGTGAGTCATAATCATACCTTAATGTTTTAAGGGAACTTTATCCAATCCAATCCCTTTATAGAAAAGGAACTTTTCCAAGCTATGTTGCAATATTTATAGTGTGTAAAATTTTGTTTGACTTTGGTAGTTGTGCATTTTAAATTATTGATCTTATATGCTACGATAACTAGTATGCTTACTTTCTTTAGTGCATGTGATCATACAATGCTAAAAAGATATTTTTTAAAGACCCAACCAAACTGAGGATTTTGTTATACGTATCTGTATCAACACCTATATATAAACTCCTCTCTTCTTACCTGAAACACTCCTTCACCGGTTTGGGCACTAACTAGATCCTTTTCAAAGGAACAGATGGGAGTGAGCGAGCTGGCACTCCAGAGTGCGTCTGAGCTGAGAATTTAGAAGACCTTATTCAAGAAAGTAAACTGAGCATTGACGGGAAGGCACTTTGCGCGAAGTATCCTTCCCACTATTAACGTTGCAGTAAAAATTGTGGAAAAAAAAAAATAGTGGTGCTAACATTGTTCTTAAATGAAGATTGTTTTTGTTGTGGGGAATATTTTAATACTCTTGGACTTCAGGGAGGCTATTTTATGTGTCACTTGCTCCTAGCTGTTTCATTGTGTTAGTAATTAGCAAACTGTCCTGGATCCAAGGGTTTGGTACTTTTGCTTGATTAGCATTCCATTATTTATTTGAAATGCTCAGTGTGTGCTCAAATTTGGTGAAAATATCTTTTGAAGACATATTCTCTGAGCCTTAAAAATGGCTGCTATCGACAGTACTGTAAGATGCACTGCCAGTAGATTTGATACTTTTCATTTCAGTGTAGGCAGTAATGTTTTCTAAGAAAGATTTAGAAATCAGCATAGTATAACAACTGTTTCATTTATGGAATGAAAAAACTGAAGTGTCCCATTCAGAACACTTTGGAAAGGTTGTCTTTGCATTAGGGGATGTTTCTGGAAGCATCCCTTAGAGAAACTGCCTGAGGAATCTCCTTGCCAGGTTGTACCAGATTTTTTTTTTTCCCTTAAATGTATTGTATATATTTTCCTTAAAATGTCTTCATTGGCTGAATGATTCGTATCTGTAGTAATATTTTAGGTACTTGTTGGATTTTTAAAGGAAGATTATTTATTTTCAGATTTGCTGCTATAATTGAAAACCTAATAACTGGTCCTGTTGATTGTGCCTTTCATCACTGTTTTTCTGTGCCACGACCGTTCATGTGTATTTGAAATAAAGAAGTTTAAAAAGCCATGTTGAAGTCAAGATTCCTTCTAATAAAAACAGGTGAAACTTAATGAGTAGTAGTTTATTATTTATTTTGTTTAACACTGATACATACTAGTTACCCATTTTCAGTTAGAAAAAAGAGTGGATTCTTTATTTGGGTTTTGTAAAGTCTTTAAAGGGGAAAAAAAAAGCCTTACTGTGAAGACAGTGATGACGAATATTATGCTGATGTTCACTTTATTATATGCACTATACAGTTCCTAAAATAAGAGTAGCTACCTGGGCCTCTTTGATCTAAAATATTTAGGGGCTATTAAGTTTTTAATGTAGAAAATGCTACTAATGATGCTTAGGGCCTGAAGTACAGTGACCCCCGTTTGAGGGATACTACAGGTTAAAGAGGATTCTGAAGGTTAGAAGGGATCATGTGTCTTATGTAAATGTTTAAAATACAGCTCATTAGAAATGGAGATTATGCATTTTTGTCAACAGGAGAGAGATGGGGCTGGATGATTATTCCCTTGTTCTCCAACTACTCTTTCAAAAATACTTAATTCATGTTGTTTTACATGTTTTCCCCATGCCCTTAGCATTTTACATGTAGCTCTTAGGTTTGCAAATATTAGAGTGAACACACATGCTTTAGTTTAAAAAATATTTATTACAGAAATGTACATTTAATTAGTTTTAAGGAATGTACCTGACCACAGTGTTAATATATATTTCTTCAAATTTGCAAACTTTACACCTTTAAGATATCTACAAAGATCGTTTATTTACAAGTTTTACAAGAAATGATCACTTCACAATCCTGTTGACACAGTTATGATTGAATATTCTCACTTGTTTTTACTTCACTCTGTACTTATAGAAGGAACACAGAGTGTGGGTGAAGTTCCATCCCAGTGCCAGGGACAGCCCGTAGAGCAGAATCAGAGGTGCAAATGGATACAGAAGAATTACTGTGTTTTTCAAAAATGGCAATGCTGGAAAAGAAAGGAATCCAAACTGATTTTTTTAAAAAAATTATGACTAATAAATGAACATTTTGAAAGATAGCTTACTTCAACATGTGGGGTGGAAGGGAATGCATCTTTTGAATCAGTAAGATTATGCTATTTATACCCAGAACTAGACTACTCCTCCCAACCCCTTTGTGCTGTTTCCTTCTTGTCTAGGGCTGGGAAGAAACCTAGGAGAGGAATTATTTCAGCACAAAGACCGAGTGGGACATACACTGGACCAAGAGAGGTTAACAGTGAGGGAGAAATATCACAAATAGTCATGAAAACAGTGGTGAATTTAAACTTGTGACTGCCTCAGAAGCCTCTAGGAGTCCCAACTTCAAGTACAGAGATGGATGATATAGGAAAATATCTTTTAGCTATTTGAGATTTTTCAGTGTAAAGCATTATACCCCCACTTTAAGAAGGTGTGAGCTCAACTAGTAGCCCAGGCTTCAGAAAAGAACTGAAACTCTTAAATATAAAAATCTGGCTCCAAATACTGATGTTTCTTGGTCACTGGTTAGTTGGTGGGACCCTACCCCATGCATCCTGACCTGAGTATTTCTCATACAGGAAGGTCTTAAACAGAAACTGAGCTGTACTCCAACGATTCTAAGTGGTATAGGAGTTAGGAGCAGTGTTCAAAAAACCACTTAAGAGAAACCACAGTGCTGCAGTGTTCTCATCACAAAACACTTTCCAAATTCATTAGAAATGGCACAAACATCTCCCCTGGACTAGAGAAAGCACTCCCCAAACAAAGCATTACAATGAAGGGGTTAAGTGTTCCCTGGCCAACCAGCCGAAGAGGGAGAGAATGGGGGTGGGAACAACTCTGGAGCCAGGCACAGTCAGAGCCATCTGTATTTACAGTTAGGCCCTAACAACCTACAGTAACAGGGAAGGAAGGGTTAAGAAACATACAGTGCAGTCTCTAGATTTTATTTGGCTTTATTTAATGGAGATCATTTCTTAACATGAATGAAAAATAATGTATGTTCCTCATTCATATTAAGAAAAATGAACTGACAACAGGATTTAAGAGTAAATCTGCAAACATGTCCTGAGGACAATAAATGCTGGGCCCGATCTTCTGTGATCGTCTACAGAACCATATGGTAATCAAGAAAACTAAAAAGGGGGTAAGAAGTATGACTCCAAAGGCTTTAGAGAACTTCAGTTCATAGACCTGTGTAACAAGATTCTGGGTCCCACCTTTCTTCGCTCTACCCTCCGGCTGGTAACCCACAAGCTGAAAGCATGGGAGAAGAGGAGGAGCGAATGGTCTTGGATTCCTGCAAGTCATGTGGAGATAACCAGTATGGTTTAACATGGCTCCTTCAAAGTATAAAATCTGTCACATACTAGCTAGGCCATTTTCTAGCTGCATGACCCGGGTAAGCTGCTTAATCTGTGCCTCAGTTTCCTCATTTGAAAACCAGAAACAAGTAAACCTGTGTAATTATGAACATTAAATGAGATAATGCACATAAAATATTTAGGACAGTGCCTGTAAGTGTTCCATAAAAGCAAGCTATTAGTATTACTGTTACAACTTTCCCCCTCTTCCTATGTTCTCACCCAAAAACATTTTAAAAAATTACTTACCACTGTATCCCAGGAAAGTGACATAGATATAATAGCCAACTGCAACCAACCATAAGGTGTTTCCAACTAAATATCCAATAAATGTGTCTGTGAGGATGACATCTGCCAGAAGAGACGCAGGCCGTGAGTCCCTTCACCAATGCACACAGTGAAGACTTGGATAATATTCTAAGTAACTGCTACTTACGGTTGATGAAAAAAAGCTGGATAAAATGCAAAATGACCAGGAGTGGATAAAAAGCATTGAGATGCACATCAAAAGCATAGCCCCATTCCACATCATAGTCTCTGCTCTGTCGTTTCACTAAATACTTGTTAGAGATGAACCTAAGAGCAAAATTAAAATTTCTTTCATAATAAAATTGATTCTGTAAATGTTTACTTACTATGTGGCAGACATTCTAAATTCTGGAGCTATACCAGTAGACAAAACAGACAAAAATCCCTACCTTCCACCTAGGAAGGAAGGCTGACCATGATATAAATATGTTAGATGGTACTATGGAAAGAGAGAGAGCAGTAGAGAAATGTGGAGAATACAAACCTGAGATGCAATTTTACATATGAAGGTTATAAAGTAACATTTGGGTAAAGACCCAAGGACAGTGATGGTGCCTGGCAGGTCTGAGGAATGGTAAAAAGACCAATGTGCTGAAAGAAAAGGAGCAAGAAATGAAGTCAGAGAAGAAACAGGGTTGGGTCCAACATCAGGTCACACAGGATCCATGTTTGACTCCATGTTTCATGGAGCCTGTGGCCATTTTACAATCTTTGGCTTTTATTCCTGGTGAAATGAGAAGCCTTATTTGACTTCAATGCCTTGACAGAGCCTCCCTGGTGGCTGATCTGAGAACAGACTCGAGAGACAACACTGGAAGCAGAGGCCAGTTAGAAGGCTACAGCAAGGAAGAGATGAGCAGAGGGACTGGTGGCAGTGGAGGTGCTGAGATGTGGCACACATGATACTCGGAAGGTAGAGCCCCGACATTATTGGATGTGCATGATGAGAAAAAAAGACTCAAGGATGACTGAGAGATTTCTGCCTTGAACAAATGGAAGATGGAGCCGCCTTCAATTGAGGTGGGGCTGGCTGTGAGAAGAGTGGTTTTGAGGTGGGAAGGAGTGTGTGGAAGTTTGAATTTGGACCTGTTATGTTGAAGATGCCAGCTAGTATGGAGTAAGAAGTTGTATACCATGTCTAGAGTTTAGAGGACAAGTCCAAACTGGAGATATAAACTCATCAGTGTGTAGATGATATTAATATTTAAAGCCACGGGCCTGAATCGTGTCACCAAAAAAATGTGGATAATGAACAGGCCCAAGACCCCTATTAAGAGGAGGATGAAATAGTAAGAAGCAGTTAGGAAGAGTGACACATCCAGCCGTAAGAACAATTATTCAAGCGTATGTCACTGTTCTACAACATGGCCTGCTAGTTTTTCAGTTCAATGATGAATAAAAAGTAAAATATCCAAGTAATAGAAAAGTAGATCTTCAAAGAACAAAAGTTATATTATAAACATATATTGGAAATTCAATGTACTTTTTAATATATTACTTAATTTCATCTCAAGGATACAATTAAGAATATACTATTCTGACACTGGGGATAAAAATGAAAAATAAACAGATGAAAAACATGGTACAATACTAATGGTAACAGTTCCTGCATTTAGTTATCTGAAAATGCCAAAACAATACTGAACAAACTAGAGCTTACCAAGACAGTTTCCTTTTTAGCCAAGAATGTGTGCCATTCAAATTGTATGGAATCAACATGTAGCTCACTCCCCAAGGGCACCCTCTATGAAAGCAGACGTTCTCTGCTGCCCCTATTCCCCTGCTTATCCCAAATGGGCACTTTCCAAGCTTCTGGCCTCAGTGAGAGTCTTTCCTCTAGAAGACAGATGTGCCTTCTGAGAGCACTCCAAGGCACTGTGGTTTTCACCTCCCAGCTCCGTATTAACGCCAGTCAGAGGCTCATCATGGCCCAGACTCTTGCCTCTAGGTCTAGAGTCATCAACCTCAGTGTCTACTGACCTTTTCCACTCTTCAACAAGTTCCCTGAACTCAACAGGCCATCAAGGGCTGCTTCATCTGCACCTGCTGCTTCCTCAGTCCTCCAAGGCCAAACCTTGCAGGCCATCCCAAAGGAGCCTCCCACCTACTCCCCCTTCCTGATCCTCCCTCATACCTTGTTATCTCAGGAAGCTCTCGAATCCATTTCTCCTCTCTATTCCCATCACCACCATACTATCTGGGCCTCCTCTACTCCTACGCAGACCTCTGCAAGTGTATCCAGCCTTGCCCACTCACTACTCCAACTTTTGCCTCCTCCACTGCCATGGAAAAGATTTTTCCTGAAGTGTGAGTTTGACATTATTTCCTTACTTCAAAGCCTCAAACCTCCCCACCTCCTTCTGCCCCCAACCCAAACATGCAGTCTATGAGATAAAGTCCAATTTTTTTCCTGAATGGCATTAAGGCTAATTTCTGTAGTCACATCTCTTCCCCAGTCACTCGGTGTCACCCTATGCTCCCAGACCTAGCATGCTGTTCCACACCTCTATGCCTCTGCACTTGCAATTCCTGGTGCCAGGAGTCAACTATTCCCCATCTCCACAAACCACCTCCTTATGCTGGCTTCAGTAATACATCTGTGATGGTCATCATTACATGCAGTCATTTCTCCTTCTAGTTCCTCACACAACATAGGTTCTCAAAACTACACTGAATCCCTTTCTATGTAATTCGAACTATGATACAGACTCACATGAAAGGTGCTAATCTCCAGGTTGATTTGGTTTCTGTGGCTGATATGGTTTGGCTGTGTCCCCAACCCAAAATCTCATCCTGAACAGTAATCTCCGAAATTCCCATATGTCAAGGGTGGGGCCAGATGGACATAACTTCCCCCATGCTGTTCTCGTGATAGTCAGTGAGTCTCACAAGATCCGATGGTTTAATAAGCATTTGGCATTTCCCCCACTTGTACTCACTCCCTCCTGCCACCTTGTGAGGAAGGTGGCTGCTTCTCCTTTGCCTTCCGCCATGATTGTAAGTTTCCTGAGGCCTCCCTAGCAATGCAGAACTGTGAGTCAATTAAACCTCTTTCCTTTATAAATTACCCAGTCTCAGATAGTTCTTTATAGCAGCGCTGAGAACAGACTAAGACAGTGCCCTCCAGAATTACTGTATTCATGGCAGAATGCTTATTATCAATGAAACTATTCCTTTGAAAGTCTTATTTACTGAAATTTCAAAATACACCATTTGTTTTTCATGAATTTCTTAGTAATGAATACGTGATTACATTAGTATTAATTCTAGGCCAGATTTTAGAATTTATGTTAACAGTGCACAGCATTTATTGGCTAACTAGCATATACAAAAGTTCTGCTGTACTAGTCGGAAGTTACAAAGAAAAATACAGGCATATATCATTTTACCACACTGCACTGTACTGCACCTCAGAGAGACAGTAGTTTTTTAATTTTTACATATTGAAGGTTTGTGGCAACCATGTCCAGCAAGTCTTCCTGTGCCATTTTTCCAGCAACATATGCTCACTTCACGTCTCTGTGTCAGCATTTTCTAGCAATAAAGCATTTTAAAGTCTGTACATTGCTTTTTAGAGCCATAGTGCTACTGTACACTTAAGACTACAGTACAGTGTAAATATGATTTTAATATGCACCGGGAACCAACACATCTCTGTGACTCAGTTTACTGCGATATTTGCTTTACTGAAGTAGTCTGGCATGGAACTAGCATATCTGAGCTACGCCTGTAAAAGGCTGGTATTGGCCAGGCGTGGTGGCTCACACCTGTAATGCCAGCATTTTGGGAGGCCGAGGTGGGAGGATCACCTGAGGTCAGGAGTTCGAGACCAGCCTGGCCAACATGGCAAAACCCCGTCTCTACTAAAAGTACAAAAATTAGCCGGGTGTGGTGGTAGTGTGCCTGTAATCCCAGCTACTCAGGGACGCTGCAGCAGGAGATTTGCTTGAACCCGGGAGGTCTAGAGGTTGGCAGTGAGCCTGGAGATTGCACCATTGCACA